ATTCCTGTTTAATAAAGGGACATTGCTTTGCTGCCAATGAACCCAACCCACGTGACTGGTGCCAGCAGTGTTTACCAGATGTTGACCATAAAACGTGGACAAGTAGAAAAAGTATGTTTGAATTATAGAAACCTCTACCTATTATTACATCACGGGCTCTGACATCATACTTTTTCCTTTGTAACTGCACAGACAATCAAGTTCCCAGGTTTCCTTCAAAGACCACGTATTTTGCCTTACAAGGAGAAAGACTCGTGATCCAACTGAAAGCAACAGACCCTGATAACCGTCCCCTAACATACTCTGTACTCAGCTCTACAGCTACTGGATATACACTCAGTGCATCTGGTTTATTGACATGGAAGGTGCCATCCAATGAGAATAAAAAGTTTACCTTTCAAGTGACTGACGAGTGTGGCGCGTTTGATATAATACATGTGACCGTACGTATAGTACAATGTCCATGCCTCAATGGTGGCARATGTGTACCCCACCCCTACCACCCACGGGGATCTGGATTATACCAATGTCAGTGTCCCAGAGGAACTGGTGGAGAACGGTGCCTGAAAGTTTGTTCTGGAGCTGAATGTAAGTATAATTATACAATTCTTATTTTCCCCTAAATATTTTTAAACTAATAATTTTGCATGCTTGTTCGCATTCAGGTCCTCGTGGTCTCACAGTGAAACCCATAGGAACAACCAAACTTGAAGTGAAATGGAACGAACCTAAAGACTTACAGTCTGTCGATTTTTATTTGCTAAAGGTTAGTTTAAAGTGTTAAACAAAAGAGCATTGTGAGAGAGAAAAAGAAAAAAAAAGAAGAATAAAGAGAGTGATATAGAGTTTTGAAGAGAATAAATGGATAAAGTTCGATATAAGTCATTTAAAGGTGCATATGACACGAAATATGTTTAATGCTGAAAAAGTTTATTTGCACTAATAAGAATATCATGGTTAAATTTGTTTCGACGTATTTCTCTAGAAGTTCAAGAAAATTTAGCTCMAGTTGTGACGTCATTTTGTTTACAAGTCTCCAGATTTAGTTGCAAATACATGATGTCTAGAATCTTAGTTTTAGAGAGGACACTTTTCAGTTTCTCAAAAAGTAGCACGAATACTATCAAATGAAGCTGAATAGAATATGCTTTTTATTGTTATTTTATACCAACCACATTTTTTATTTAGTGCATCGGGCAAATTTCTAATATTCTTATCGACATTTACTTATAGTTGATCTCATGAGTGATTTTCAAAGAGTATAATTTAACGAATACATTTTAGGATATGCATCATTCACTTTTTTTCGCTAACACTGATTGGCTAGACCAAAGACAAAGACCTGTCAAACGCAAATTATTGACAGCATTGACCTCCCTTGAGTCATATAAGGGTAAACATTTTTAGTGACATCACTTGATATGACCAGCGAGACTCGCTCATTGAGCTCATCAGCTCAATTTGATACAGAAGTCATCTTGTCAAATAACAAAAAGCAATGCTAAAAATCCCCAAAAAGAGTCCAGAGAAACAACGACGCAAAAAAGCAATGCCTATCCAAATAGAGCATCCGAAGAGCAAGTCGCACAGCCTGTTCGGCAGAATGCTTTATCCGGGGAAGCATTGAGAAGATCTATGCTCGGACCTTCAGGAAAAGGAAAGGAAAGATAACTCGTTTAAAAGTTTAAAACTAAACAACGGTTTAGGAGACACCATATTATTAAAAGTGATGATCTATGCTGCTGATATTTAAAACATTGATTTAAAAATTTTGAACTGAAAAGGCTTTGTAACAAAAGAGTTTATTTCTCGGTGGCACTGCTACACCGTTTCGGCAAAGTAAAACACTTTCTTGTCGTAAGGAGGATTCAAAATTACGTCTATTATAGTTTAATGGAATTGGCCTTTTGTTATTTCTTTCACACTTTTTATCTCATAGATGATTGAAAGTTAGAAAAACTTTAGAGTTTGGACACAAGTGGGCTTCGAAATGTCGGCATCAACTTAAACCACAACTAAGACGCTGTATGATGACACGTAAAGCTTGTATAAATTAACATTAATTTTTTTTTCGTCTTGATCCTGACTTTAATGCATGTTTTTATCAAAATGGAATCATAGTCACTTGACTTAAGTCGAAGAATCTTTTGGCAAATCACAAAGCACGCGCTGCTTCTCCACTGAAAAAATTAATTCACACAATCAACGTTGTAATGATGGCCTCATTGAACGGAAAATAAGCTACCGTATTTTCTTCAGATTACGCTGTTCTGCATGAATGTTCTGTGTGAACGTTACGATGCTAAGCGGAAGCATATTTATACGCTGAAAATAAAATCCTCGAAAAATAAAGCTTAGAAAGTAATCTTCAAATTAAACCAAGAAAGGTTTTTTGTCTTGAAAACTAATGCAAGTTTTAAATTTCAACCATCTAATACTTATGTAAAGAAAATGATCTTCACAGACTTTAAGTATAAGTATTTTCTATTTTAGTATGGTTATACAGACAAACGAACATGGAAAATAAAAGTGCCAAAGRCGGTCACAACCAAGACTTTAACTGGTTTGAAGAAGTTCACAAATTACCGTGTTACTTTGACTGTGATGTTCTCAAATGGTGAAGAAACGATGGAAACTATGGCAAGGACAGGCGAAGATGGTAAGCGGGGTGCACATTTCTTGGAAATACGTCATGACCGCCCGTAAGCCCTGTACATCACAGGGTTCCTGCTTGATATGAAACTAGCCACATTCACAAAAACACAGGTAGCTCAAGTTAGGTTTCTGTGGTGTCATGTTATAAGAAAATGTATGGTGATACTTTTAAAAGCTTAATTAAATCGTCAAAATGTGAAATAAAGTAGAGACATCTTAGCTGACTTTTAAAAAGTAGTACCTCATTCGCATTGTGAACTCTTGGAGGAAAAGAACCTTAAAACTGGTTATATCCAAAATCTAATTTCACAAGCGAGATACTCCTTTTTAAAAGTTCTATTTTGATTGAATATTTGATTAAATTCATTTATTGCGCATTTTGTCTTCAGTACCTGACGCAGCACCAGTCGTCACTGACATCTCTCCAGTCAGATATGATACCATGAAGGTCACGTGGTCATCCATACTAGAAGATCAACGGAACGGTGTCATCAGAGGTTACAAAATCTACTACAAAGAACTGCTGTACCCTAGAAACAAATGGGAAGTGTTTGTTGTTACCGGAGGTGATGTGTCCAGTACAATGGTGACTGGACTAAAATCATACACCGAGTACTGTGTTAAGATGTCTGCCTTTACCAGTAAAGGAGAGTATCGTGACTGGGAACGAAAACAATGCAATATAGTCAAGAGTAAGTAAAATGTCCTTAAAAGTGAATAAAACTTGGAAAATCGTGTTAGCCTCAACTCCAATCATATGGTCAAACCTAATTGTTTCCATTTGACGCATTAAAAATTCAATTAGGTAAGTATTAACGAAGCTAAATTACTCGTCTGACAAAGAAACGGATACATCAAATAAACGCATGTCATATTTATTAATAAGTATAAGTACAAGTGAGTGGCATTCTTGGTATGGAATTTTACTCTCTCGCAGTTCTCTTTGAAGCCGGTCTTTAATTGTTTAATGTTTGTTTTCTACAGCTCCCTCTCTTCCTATCAAAGTACAAGCTAAAGCCATGAGTATGACAGAAGTACTTTTGAAGTTCGTGAAACCAGAGCACTGGCCTTCATCCAATGAAATACAAGTGGATTGCGGAAAACTGAAAGACGAGTTGAATATGAAGAAAGCCTGCTATGGTTCTTCTTGTGTGATTGATAACCTTGAGCCAGACACCATGTACTACTTCAGGGTGATTGGATATGTGTACCAGAGAGGAGAAACGCCAACATTTACTAAGATAAAGACATCAAGACATAAGGTATGCTATACTGTCTTTGTTACTGCCTGTACGTTTATCTTTATTAAGACAAAAAGAATGTGAGCCACTCTTCTTATATACAGCTCCAGTCATTAAAGTGTACAGTATTCGTATACCTACGTACGATCACTGAGTTTTGAATTCGGAGAGATCGATATTTCATCGATTCAACCTCTTTTCAGGTTCTTAAATCCAGACGTCAGATTAACTGAAGACAAGACATGGCCTCAAGATTTTTTGTATGTGTGTGTGTAAGCTTGCATGTTAACGCTATCTTTTTATTGGGGTTTGAATGAATAGGGATCGATTGAAGTGTGTTGGCGTAAACATTTAAGCTCATTATTAAGGTTTGATATAATAATGATACCAATGCACTATATTGATTGTTTCATTGGTCCCGGGGTTCTAAATGTTGTATTATTATTGTGTAAGAAAAGTTATTAAAATACATGTATAATAAAAGTTGAAGAAAATGACAAGTATGTATTTACATCTTTATCAGATTCTTATCAATTACAGATAGTTCCAAAGATGAAGAAGATTACAATACTGAAAATTAAATTACAGCTGTAATTTTCAGAATAGGGAAACAGTACTAGTAAACATACCTCGCAGCAAACGTTAAAAAAAACCACTATGAAATGGATCGATTGAACAAATAGCCTAGATTGTCAGCAGTGCTGATAGTTCCACTTGCATTGAGCTGGAGTAAACCTGAAAGCTCTAGTATGAACAGCTTATCTTATACGTCTCTTCAAGAAAACTTCACCGAACTTCAACTCATCCATCCATCCATCCATCCATTTATCCACCTACCCGTCCATCCATCCGTCCATCCCTCCCTCCCTCAGGACAATGTAGAAATAGAATAGAAATAGAAATAGAATTGTCCAATGTAGCACCATCTGCATTGGACAAGCATTACACCAGCTTGAACTCACTCACAAACACAAAACACATTAGACTTGAACTGAAAAACTTTACTAATTTTACTCTATATCATAGATACTTAGATTTACACACGGAAATCTAGTTTAGTAAATTCTCGTTCGTGTGCTGAATTTAGCCAATGAGAAAGGCGAACGATGTTTTTCACTAGTGAAAAAATACCGTTCGCATTTCTGATTGGACGAACGATGTATTGTTACTAGTGAAAAATTATCGTTCGTCCAATCAGAAACAAGATCGAAGATTGAGTGAAAATGGCTGCAGAAAGCTCCAGATTTATGTCACTCGACAATTCAGTAGAGTCATTTATTCAAGAACAAGGTAATACAAATACTGTGAAAAAGAGGACAAGAGATGTTTCTTTGTTAACCAAGTTTCTTCAAACTAAAGGTGAAACACGCAGCGAGATAGCCGACATTCTTCCTGCCGAGCTGAATGAACTTCTCAGCTCGCCGTAATTCATCATCGCGTACAATTGCACGCAAAACTAGGTCATGACCGCCTTATAGTTGCRTTATAGTTTTACAAGTCCAGAACCGCCTTAGTCCTTGAGCTTGTATAGACGTTTTCATCATTTTTCGTCCGCCATTAAATATGCCATGACTATCCGCGCCAACAACAACTTTCAAGATGTCCCGCGAACAATTTTGGTCCCAGGCCTCGCGCGGTTTGCTTCCTTGATTCCAAACCTCAAAACGGGGTTCGCTCGGTTTAAAAAAGTGCGTCTTCAATAGTAACTGGGACTAAGAGCGTTGTTTCCAAGCCAACGAGGAACCTGGCTACTCATGCAATATGGCGGACGAAGAAGGAAGAACGATTGTAAATTTGACGCAATTCTCGAGCGATTCTGGACTTCTCAAAAATCGCATATCATATTTAAAGCCGAAAGAAACAAATGCAGGATTCATTTAAGGTAGTGAATGTAAATGAAATTTCCGGTGCCACATTTTTCAGAAGGGCATTAGCGAAGACACACTATGGCGTTTCTTAAAGGCATTGTCGTAGTATTCACTCAAAGAAAATCGCTGGATCGACCAAGAGCTAAGAGGTAAGATTAAAGCACACTAAACTATCGCTGTATTACTCTTATTTTCCGACGCTTCCCCGTTATTGCCAAGGAGTGGAAAATAAGAATAGTTCCTTATTCTTTAATTCCTTGAGGTTAATTAGCATGAGATGTGACAGGCGTTCCGTGATATAGTATGCAAATGAGCAAAATCACCGGAAGAGACCCGGAATTGTGGAGGACAAATTTCAGTTACAATAAACGCTGTAAATCAGTCAACACCACTTACTCCGCTTTACGAAAACCCTCCAAAGCAGCGGAAAAGAATAAAAATTCAAAGTGACTCTGATGATGAGTAATTTCTATCACTAAAGTAGCCATAGTATGCATCTTTTTATTCAAATTGTCAGTTAACTAAACCCTTTTAGTGCAGTGGCGTCCAAGTTTTTAATTGTTCGTTTTCAGTCAATAAGCTTATCAGTCAATATGGTCGCCCGGCCTGTAGACCAACAACTATATTAGTTTTATTGTTAGAAGTTTTGAAATCTCAGTATCTCAGTACTGAAATCTCAGTATCTATGAGGAAAATAAAGTACAGAATGGAAAATGCTTGTACGGTTTTTATGCACTCGCTAATGCGTATCAGAAAACGGAGCTCATTGTAGCTCATTGTAGCTCATTGTAGCTCATTGTAGCTCATTGTAGCTCATTGTAGCTCATTGTAGCTCATTGTAGCTCATTGTAGCTC